TTACTCTTCGTGTGGTTAACATACCCCTTTCTTGTTTAAGCTCATTTGAATTGATTTCTGTTGATTTTATCCCATTAGAAAAGTACTTAACAAAACAGCTAGTGGGCTAAAAAGTGGATGTGGTGGAGATGGAAAGTGTAGAGAAGGACTGGAATGGAACACTGGAATTGAGAAAGAAAGCACAGATCAGACACCAATATCCGGAGGAAGAAATGACAGTACTTTGTTGGAGACTGGACACATCCCATATGGAAGGAATACGATCAAAAATGAAACATTCAGGAAATTTGTGGACTCACTGATAGAAATGGAAGTAGTTGAAATGAGGAAGTGGATTTGAATGGAAGCAATAACCAAACCATGACATTTGAGTTCCTGGCAGAGGTGGGACTTTGCCAGACTATGGTTTTGGTGACATAACCCATCCTATATTGGTCCAACAATGTGAAGTACAGGAATGGAACCTAGTCATGCTCTGTGTCATCATTCAAGGGAATATGATAAAAAACTACAGATATTTGGCTTTTCAAATACATTCTTTAGATTCTTTTCTCTCCTTTCTCTTCCTATCTAAAGCATGGGAATGATTTGTAGCCTAGATTAGTGTTTCTCAAAGTGTGGTTCCTGCATCAGAAGCTTCAGAATCACCTGGGAACATCTTAAAAATACAAGTTCATGAGCCTCACCCCAGAGTAAGGGCATCAGAAACTCTAAGGGTGGGTCCAGGAATCTGCATTTTAACAAGCCCTGCAGTTGACACTGATGTTCACTAAAGTTTTAGAACTGCTGGTGTAGAGCATTCTTTCCGTGTTGGCTCTACAGCAGGTGAGGCAATCCAACATACAGTGCTATGATTTTGCATCCTAAGAATTATTCCCTTAGAAAAGTACATATCCAACATACAGTGCTATGATTTTGCATCCTAAGAATTATTCCCTTAGAAAAGTACATTTTCCCTAAAGCTATTCATTCAAAACTATGTGTTGAGAATGTGCTATCTGCCAGGCATTGTTCCAGGTACTTTGGATTTTGCAGAGAACAAATTTGACACCGTTAATAATAATAATGCCTATATTTTAGCAATTAAAAGTTATGCTATGGGACTGCCAGGGGACCTGAGTGTTGGTTAGGAGGTCAGGAAGCTGTTCCTAAAGAAATGGCATTTAAACTGAGAAAGAATAGGAATTTCTCTGGAGAAGAGCCGAGGAGGTAAGGCAAAGCCGCTCTAGGTCCTGAAAGGGGTAGGCCTGAATGCTTTCAGGGAATTGGAAACAGACCAACATGAAAAGGTCATGGTTAATCATGGGTGGTGGAGCTAGAGAGGCAGATCTGATAGAGTGATCAACAGGGACTTGTAAATATTAAAGATTTTGCACCTTCCACTGAGGGCAATTTACAGGCCACAAAAAAGTTTCAATCATGGGCTAATGTGATCTGATTCATGCTTGTTTACCTTTTTAATTAAATGCAATTCCTTTTTTAAAAAAGCAAATACTTTTCCACTGTACTGTGGAAATAACTGTGGGCATAATAGTATGATGAGTTAAATTCCCTCTAAGATATAATGGGCTGATAGAGATACTTTCTCTGAAAAAGGCTGTGAGGAAGGAGGGAAACAGAATAGAGTGTGCCTGTGGGGACCAGATGCCAGGAACAGAAAAGGAAGGCTTACGAACTTCTTTCTTTTTGTGGTTGTGGCTGAGACTGCTCCTGCTAGTCAGACATAAGATTGCATGCCTGAGAGTGCGAGTTCACAGGCAATTGCTGCTTCTCTCAGGGGTTACTGTTTTGCCTACATAGAAGACCCTGGTGCTCAGGCTGTATCCATTTCTAGAGATCATATGTATCTTTTCTCCTACACAAGATCTTTTATAGTGATTAAATTCACTTTCCAGGCATCACTGCTACCTCCTTGAGAATAATTCCCAAATCTATATGTCCTTCCTGACCTTGAATAGATTTTCAATGTTTAATATCTTTAGTATCCTGTGCTAACACATTGTGTTAAAAAATGCACACATGCCATTGTTTAGTGTCAGGCTGTGTAGGGTTCACTAATTATTGAAAAATTATACATGCCCAACTCTGACTGCTCTTCTGCAGTTCAAGAGCATGTCTCATATTGTCTGCTGGAGAGCTGATCTTGGAATGTCATTGTAACCACAAATAGCTTGCCTGTAATTGAACTATGTCTTTCCTAAATCAACTTGCCTCTGTCTTCTGCCTCTTTTCATTAACATCAACATTTACTGTCGTCCCAAGTTCCAAGATTTGGAGTCATCCTTGACTCCTCTCTATCTTAGGCTCTCACCAAATCCAAACTCTGAGATTGTCCCCATTCACGTGGTAGAATGCTAAATTGCCATTGGTTCTTCTCTTTCCTTATCCATTATTGTTCGAGTATTCTACTCAACATACAGGATACTTCCATCTCCTAAAGCTAGGTTCCTTTATCAGAGACACTGGTGACTATACGGTATGTGTGACTTCATTAAGCCTATTTTATTTAGAAAAGGTCTTTCTGTATATATACACACACACATACATACATATATATACACACACACACACATACATATATATATACACACACACACATATATATGTATGAATAAACAGCTCTGAATATGTAAGTTTTCTTCAAAATGTCTTATTTTAAAGAATTATTTTTTTTTATCAATGTATGCAAACTTTCCAATCTAGTCATATAAGTTCATGTAGAATTCATACATTCAGGTGTCAGTATTCCATCCCTGTGGTGCTAATGGTATTTCCCCCGTCTTGAGTTCTAATGTAAATTCTATTTTTCTCAGCCCCAGTCCCTCTTTAGGGGTTTTCTAGATCATCCCAGATCTCAGCAAATCTTCTTTCTTCAAATCCTGCAGTATTCCTCTTCTTACATTCATCCTGTACTATCTTATACACTTTTTTTTTTTTTTTGAGTATGTGTTCAACCTCTGCCACTTAGATAATAAGCCACTTAAGGGAAGAATCAGGTCTTTTGCTACTTTGTATCCTCAGCATCTACTATAATATGCTGCCTGTAGCATTCGCTTAGTTGATATATTTTGATGGTAATCTTTAGCAGGCAATAATACCTATAGACTCATCTATCTCACTTTCATTAATAGAAGTCTAAGTTAAACATCCTGTCTGAAAATGTTTCTTCAGAGTAGTGCTTTTAAGTTAGGAGAACCAGTCATTATGACTTTAATTGCAAGCATTATTTTTCTCTCCAATTACCATTAATTCTACAACTAGTTTCTTTGACTGTCTTTCATTAGATTATGTTGGAAGTTAGATTTAGGGAATGACAACAGATGGTTGCAAGTGGGAAATTTTCCATTCAGACTAGAAAGAATGGTTTAGTCCATCCCCTAACTTTTCAGCAAAGATACATATAAATCATAATCAAAAGATTATAAGAAATTTACATTTATAGATAAATTACATGGTGACAGTTTCTTTGTAAATTTCCTTTAAGTCCTTCAGCACATTTCACATGGCCCTGTACAGTTGAGCCGTCTCCACTTCTCCATCCTTCTCTCTACCACCCATCCCCCCATTCACCACAACCTAGTTGCAACAGCAAGCTTTATATTCCCCGAATTGCCAAGCTCCTTCCCACCTGCAGTGGCAGCCCCTGTTTGGATGATCTTTCCTGCTTATTTCCTGATCAGTTCCCATCATCCTTTGAGCCTTAGCCTGCTTGTCACTTACAAAAACTGGGAGTTTTTGTCTCATCTCCCACAGTAGGTTAAGTTCCCTTGCTATGTGCTTTCATAGTTCTTATCATGATTATAATTATATATCAACTATAAATTAATTTGTTTTGGGTCTCTGTTCCACATTAAACTACAAGCTGCAAGATGTTAGAGACTATATAAATCTCATTCACTAAAATATTTTCAACCTCTAGAATAAAGCCCAATGCATAATAGATGCTTGAATACATAAATGAATGAGGATTTTATGAATGACTATCCGATAAAACTTTCAGAGAAACAAACCATTCTTATATTATTCACATGTAGAGTTTAATTCTTCTCATTCCTTCCCTGAATGGACATGAGCAGACTTCTCTGGGTCATGTAATTCACATGAGCATGCATATATATTTTATGAAGTAACTTCTGCTTTTATAAAAACAAAGCAAAACATACCAAGTATTGCGCAGTGGAAATCTTCATTTGCTCCCTTACAGAATCTAAACAGCTTAAATGATTAGGTATCATATGAAAATGTAAAAATATATTGTTTTGTTTGAAATTGTTTCATTTATGCACACTAGCATGGATATTCCTGTAATTCTTTTTATGTAAGGTTATTTTGAAAATGTATGCTGTTGGGTTAAAAGGAGCAAGAAAACTGTCTCATAGCTAAAAAATATCCACATGCTGAAACCTTTCAGTATATGTTTGTCAGTAAAGTTAATGTGGTCCCCTTCCCTGCAGGCTCTTGCAACCCCACTGATATGTCCCTGACCTGTTTCTGTGTCCTTTGAGTCTTCAGTTACCCTGCTGAGTTAGACAATTGGAGAACAAATTAAAGCCAACTGCAGAGAAGATTATTTTCTGATACAAAAATCTGACCTTAAAGAACTCAAGCCTTGAATATCTTTCTGTCAGGATGCCAGCAGTTCACCAAATTTGCATTGAAAAGTCTAACATTTCACACAGTCTCACTCTTAATTCCCCCACTATTACTGTCCTAACTAGAATGAGTGCAAGACTCACCTGAGTCGGCCCCCTTACCAGGATAAATCATTATTCAGTTAAAAGGAAGGGGATATCTAATTGCACTTGGTAACAGCTTTCAAACCCATGTTTGTATCTGCATTATTCTTTTCATACCCACCTTTTCTCCTTTTATATCCAATCAGAAAAAGAACAGTGTAAATAAATGTTAAAGTTTTGAGGGTAGGTGTCAAACATGCACCTAACTCAATGCAAAAAGAACCATATTTGGATGACATCAAGTCTTTCTCTACAGTGACTGACCTGCATACTTCTAAATTATCAGACCCATCGTCATAGGTGGCAGGAGGCTTCCGAACAGGGTTATTCACCTGGAGCCCTGCATCATTCATGTCCTTGCTGCCTTCTGGAACTCCCAGCATTTCAGTGCTGGAATCTGTTTCGGAAAATGTCTTCTTTATTATTTCATTTTTCCTAAGACTTTGCAAGAGCTGAGGATCTCTGTGGTGATATCTACCTTTGCTCTTCTCATGATTCCTTGAGGATCTCTTAATTTCAGAGGATCCTTGAGTCAGAGAAGTGCTGCATTCTTGGCACCTTGTACCTTTTCCTCTGCGGAGACTTAAAGAGCAGCTCTCACATTCGATCAGCTCTTGTTGCTCTTTACCTTTGGATCCCAGATCAACAAGCTCAATTCCATTAGGAGTGGAAGACCCAGCTAAGTTTTCGCATGGCTTATTATTATTTCTCCTCCTTCTTCTTGACAGTCTGAATTTAACCTGGGCTCTTCTTTTTGCCTGAATCCAACGACTCTCATCTGTGGAAGATGAATCTGAAGAATCTGTGTAAAGCTCCCTCCATCTGGGGCTTGAGATTTGAAGGTGAAAGTCATTTTTTCTTCCTCTTATTTGTTCTTCTGCAGCATGCTCATATCTCTCAGAGGCTTTTCTCCTCCTCCTAGGTCTTTGTTTTACTGATTTCTTACCAGACTCCTTCCTAGCAGGGCTCAGCACCACGACAGGGGTGCAATACTCAAATGACTCTTCTGACATGTCATGCAAGATGGCAGATCTAGACAGAGCAGCAGGCAAAGGATGGGAAATGGGAATGGAGAGGAAAACCATGGAAAAACAGAGAGAGAGAGAATGATGAAAATGACAGCATGGACCAGAAGTAGATAAATAAAGAACAATTGAAGAAAATGAACTAAATGGAAAAAAAAATAGCCAGTATAAATTTTCTATGGACCATGTAAAGCAGAAGCAAGAGACACACATTCTCAGAACAAAAATCAAGAATACAAATACTGATCCAAAGAATATTGATTAAGATAATTTGTTCAGCACTTACCTGCAGATGTCCTGAGTGGATGGACAGACAGACAACCTTGACTGGCTCCTGGGAGCTGTCCCTGTTGTTGGGCTGCTTGCCTGGAGAAACAAGTTAGATAATTTGGCATCTTGGTTAAGGTAATACATGGTTGATATCTTGCTTTTTTTCCACATATTTAAAAAATTACAACAAACGTGGCTGCTGGTCATGTTGCTTATAATGCAGAACAGAGAATATAGGAAGTTAGAGGTTCGTTTTGCAAAAGTAAAACTTATTTGAGGAACCTGGAACAGCTGAGACGCTGTGCTATTTCGTTGTTACTTCATTTACGAGAGAGGAAGATGATTCCACAAGTTTCTATTCTATTTACTGTAATCATTTGAGTGAAATAGCTCAATTTGCTTTGGAAACAAATGAATAATACTTGAAGACCCTATGACATAAGGACTAAAGAACGATTCTGTGACAAGGATATTAACAGTCTGAGGAGTCTAATCAAATAGCTATTAGGTTGTTAGATACTTTCTGAAGCTAACATCAAGCCCCCATGAGATAAGATATTTGAAAATACTTTGTAACATTTAAAAGCCTGAATTTATTGCTATTAAAATTTCATTAATGAAACTAATAAAATATATCCCTTGCCACACTACTGACCTTTCATATCTTTAACCCTATAACCACACTAAGTCTGAGAGTAAGAACGCCTGAAACATCAGATTATTAGCATAAAGTTGAGTGCATTTCACTAAAGTCCTACCTTTGAAACACAGTATTTTCTTCATTCTATTTGACTTTAACCTGTTGTGTTTAACATAGATCATGATGATAAAAACCTAGAATGTAGGGATAATTTTCTGTGTTCCAGATGTTGTGCTGTAACTTTATTTACTGTCTCTTTAATCCTACAATAATCTCACAAGTGGAAAGTAATAATAACTAACAGTTTTGAGTGGATAATATGTGCTTATCACTGTTCTAAGTCATTTCCATATATTCATTAATACTCACAATAAATCTTTGTAGTAAATACTATCACTACATACATGTTACAGTTGAAGAAACTGAAAAATTGGTGCTGCTTCTTACTAACAGGTGGTAAAGCTGAGATCTGGACCAGGTATTTGGCTCCACTATCTGTGGAGATCTGGGTCCAGATTCAGGCCTGCTTGACTGCATAGATGAAACGCACAATTTCATCACCAAGAAAATAACAGTAAAGGTAGAAACATTACCCCAATTTCAAAGTCATTCTAAAAATTCTCATATTAGAAATATATACTCACTATTCTGAAATCCAGAGAATGAGGAACAAATGCTAACTCAAGAGATCAGATAATATTTGAAGAGAAGGTATAGTAGGCTAAATAATGGTCCCCCAAAGATCTCAACATCCTAATCTTTGGATAGTAAATATTTTACCTTTTATGGTAAAAGGGACTCTGCAGATGTGATTAAGTTAACTATCTTGAGTTAAGGAGATTTATGCAAATTATACTGGTAAACCCAATGCAATCATTAGGATCCTTATGAGAGGGAGGCAGTAGAGTTAAGGTCAGAGAGAGAAGATGAAGAATATGAATAGAGGTAAGAAAGGAGGGAAGATACTACACTGATGGCTTTCAAGGTGATAAAAGGGAACCCCGAGGAAGGTGGCATGGGGAAGCTTAAAAAGGCTAGAAAATGAGTTCTAGAGTTTCCAGAAGGAATTTAGCCCTACTAACATGTTGATTTTAGCCCAGTGGGATCCCTATTTGGTTTCTAACCTCTAGAACTATAAGATGACAAAGCCCCAGGGAAATGCAGATGCAGAGACTACTGGGTCCCAGGTCATGATGTATTCTGGTAGTGGCTCTGCTCTCAAAATGGTGCCATGTTGCAGCAGATTAGGTCCCAGGAGGTGGGAGGGGGGATCCCTATGACACTAGTTACAGGAAATTAATAAGGAGGTAACGATTCAGCTAATCTTAAGAGGCAAATAGGAATTATTTAAAAAGATTAAAAATATTCAAGGTAGAGGAAACCATTTGTTAAGAGACCTAAAGACACCACCAAAAAAACTCTTGGAACTGATAAACAGATTGAGTAAATTTGCAGGATACACATCAACATACAAAAGTCAATAGTATTTCCAAACCCCGCTGAAACAAAGTAGATGAGAAAGAAATCAAAAAAGAAATCACATTTATAATGGTGACCAAAAAAAACTCCACTTAGGAATAAATTTAACTAAGAAGGTGAAAGATCTCTACAACGAAAACTACAAAACAGTAATGAAAGAAATTGAAGAGGAATTAAAAAATGAAAAGATTCTGTGCTCACAGAATGGAAGAATTAATATTGTTGAAATGACCATACTATCCAAAGCCATCTACAGTTTCAATGCAAACTCTACCAAAATATCAAGGAAATTATCCGAAGAAATAGAAAAAACAATACCCAAATTCACACAGAACCACAAAAGAGCCAAAATAACCAAAGCGATGTTGAGCAAAAAGAACTAAGCTAGAGGCATCATACTACTTGACTTCAAAATGTACTACAAAGTCATAGTAATCAAAAGAGCATGGCATTGGTATAAAAACAGACACACAGAGCCATGGAACATAACAGGGAATTCAGAAATTATCCATGTATTTATAGCCAACTGATTTTCAACAAAGGTGCCAAGAACTCACATTGGAAAAAAGACATCTTCTTCAGTGAACAATGCTTAGTAAACTGGATATCCATATATAGAAGAATGAAATTAGACTTCTATCTTTCACTATATATAAAAATCAACTCAAAATGAATTAAAGACTTAAATATAGACCCAAAACTAAAAGACTATTAGAATAAACATGGAGAAATTGTTTCAGGACATTGATCTTTTAGAAAAGATTTTGTGGGAAAGACTTCAAAAACACAGACAACAAAAAACAAAATAGACAAATGTGACTACATCAAACTAAAAAGCAAAGCTTTCTCCTTGCTTGTGCAAATGATTGTTTCCTCTGCACAACAAAGAAAACAATCAATGTAGTGAAGAGACAGTCTGTAGAATGGGAGAAAATATTTGCAAACCATACATCCAATGAGGAACTAATATACAGAATATACAAGGAACCTAAACAGCTTAACAGCAATAATAATAAGAATCTGATTGTAAAATGGGAAAATGATTTGAATAGACATTTCTCAAAATAAGACATACAAATGACCAATACATATATGAAAAAGTGCTCAATATCACTATAATTAGAGAACTGCAACTCAAAGCCACAGTGAGATATTATCTCACTATCCTTAGGATGTCTATTATCAAAAATATAGCAAATGGGCATGGTGGTGAATGCTTGTAGTCTGAGCTACTTGGGAGGATATGGTGGAGGCTTCCTTGAGCCAAGGTGTTTGAAGCTAGCCTAGGCAACATAGTGAGACCCCTGTCTGTTAAAACACACACACACACACACACACACACATACACACACACACACACAAAAGTAACAAAACAAAATTCACCAGAATTTGTGAGGATGAAAACAAATGGAAACTCATACAGTCTGGTGTAACCTGATAGTGCCCAATAATGGGGTTCTGATGAAGAAAGCACATCTAACGTAGAGTAGAACAGGGATTTAATGTCAGCTTGCCAGAGAAGGAGACGCCTGTCCAACACAAGGTGAGTGTGAGTCAAGTGGGGGATGGCAGTCCAGGCAAGGACAAGGATGTGTCAAAAGACACAGTAGAGAGAAGACGTCTTGGTATGGGATCTACAGAAAGTTTGTAATGACTGGGAGAAAGGTGTTGAGTGAGGTAAGAAGTGGTACATAGTCAAGATGAAAAAGTAGATGGAGGTTTTGAATGTTACATTGACATGTTGGGTTGCATCCTGAAAAGAATGAAAAGTTACTGCAAGTATTCAGCAGCAAATAGAACTGATTAAATCTGGGTACTAGAAAGCTCACTTTGGCAGCTGAGAATTGGAAAGTTCAGGGTTGGCTGAAAGCAAAGAGCAGAGTTAGGATTCCATATATTCAGGATGCAGTGAGGATAGAGAAAAGGGATAGTTTGAGCAATCGAATCCCAACAGGTTGTTTTATTTTAAATTATGGTAAAAATAATTTGAAAGATCATCTGAAAAAGTGACACAGGGGAAGAGATCCAGGGAAATTATTTAATAAAACTCAGTAGTTTCCAGAAATGAGAGTACTTTTACCAGACATCTAAATGTAGTATGATTCTAGAAATTAACAGAATATGAACGTGGCACAGGGAAAGACACATCATTAGAACAGAACTGAGAGGCTAGGAATCTATCTGTCTATATGTATCTTTCTGTTTCTCGGTACAGACAAAGTTGCATTTCTAGTAAGTGGGAAAAGGTAGGTTATTAAAAAAATGGTGTTGAAAAAATGACTAGTCATTTGGAAGAATGTAAACCTGAGTCTACTGCTTACAGTAAAGTTTAGGCAAATGCAAGATTTAAATATAGTAAAAAAAAACCCATCAAAGTATGAACAAAACATAATTTATATTTAATTAATGTTTATAATATGGTGGAAAAATTCCTTTACTTATGATGATGTAAAACAAAATGTAATATAGGAAAACACAGATAAATATGATGATTAAAAAAATAAAAACTTCTAATTTATAAAAAGGAAACACATACACCCATATACCAAAACCATCCTGGACAAACCAGAATTCATAAATAATGCCATATTTATTACCTATATGATAGCCAAATAGCTAATTTCTCTAGTATTTCAAGATCTTTCACAGATCAAGAAGGAAAAGTTGATCAGTTTTACAGAAAAATGAGCAAAACAGGTAGGTAGTTCATAGCAAGGGAATTATATATGGCCAAAAGCCCTGTGTAAAAAGATGATCAATCTCAATAAACAGATAAATGTAAATTCAATTAACAATGGTTTCCATGTTAACTTATCAGATCAGCACATTTTAAAGAGATTGATAATACCCAGTGTAACCGAGGTGGGGAAGCCATGCATTGCTATATATTGTTGAAGTAACTGTAAATTGGTACAACTTATTTGGAGAGAAATTTGATAAAGTCTATTAAAATAAAAAAAGTGCTGTAATCCCAGCA